ACGATGAAGCCGGGGATGGACAGCTTGTCAAAGTGGCCCCATATGCGACCGCAGTAGCCTATGACCTGGACTACAGAGGCACGATGGTCAGAATCGCGGCGCTTGGGCTCGACCACTGCAGAGGGGTTGCGGCGCTTGGGAGAGCGGGAACTTACGGATGCCGCCAATGACGAAAGGCGTAAAGTAGAAGGCGCGCGCCCGCGACATTCGCCATACGTGGACAGCCGTGAGGGCGGCGAAGATGGCGACGCTGACGATGGCGGCGGGTAGTGAGGGCGTGTAGCGGTAGAGCTCGAAGTCAAAGCTGTCGGCCGAAGCCGCGCCCGCGTCTAAGGACATGATGGTCCTGGTGTTCAGGTAGAAATTGCCTCTCAACAAGAGAAAAAGCTCAAGTCTTTTGGCGACTTGTCAATGGTAACCACAGAGGTTGAGAAAAGAGCGAGGACGGAAGGCAAAGCCGTGAACCCATGTTTCGCATCGAAAACGTGTGGGCGCCTGCGCGAGTATATGTCTCCAAGCAAGGCCATTTACAACGCTTATCTCCGGAAAATGCCATTTTCATGTCCCCGTTGGTCGGCAACGCCGTTGGGCGGCTTCGCCTCGTTTCGCGAGCCATGTACGAGCAGGCAAGTCAGTTGGTCGCTTCGGTCGCCCGTTCGCGGCGGCACCTTCGTACCGAATCGGCGTGTATACGAAGTACGAGCGCTGTGCGATACCCGATCTGGATTCCCAGGGTCCCGATCCACTTGACCTCGGCCGGGCCTTTCCTGATGGGGGTTGACCTGAGGAGCCGAAGTGGACCTCAAAGCCATTCTGTATTCCAGAATCTGGAATCCAGATTGTTGCTATCGTCTTGCAGTGCATTGGTTGTTTCTTCTCGTCGTATGCGTGCTCGGGCGTTGCCCCTTTCCGGCCTTGACGCCCTTGCTCCGCCTCATGACAAGATGGCCTCTACCGGGTAAGGGTCTCACTGCAGGACCGTCATGGCGGTGCATGATGAGAGAGTTGATGGGACGCGTCATGAGGAAGGCAGAATCTGATCTCGTCGGCTCTGAAGAGCCTCCCTCCATGACCTGCTCACCGAACCGTAGCTCTCCTCACTGGAACCAGGTGAGCAGGAGTACACAGCCTCGCCTGAGGTCTGCTCAATCCAGACCAGTGCTTGCACAGCGCAGTGAAAATCCCCGAACATAGCCGCTGCGGAATGCGAGGCGGTCCGAGCCAGCGCTTGGCGAGAGCGTAAAAACGCGAGATAAACTTTCGTAAACGAGCACAGCACCTAGATATGCGCCAAAGCAGACCCTGAGGCAAGATTGGGGCCTGCGTGATAACTGCAACGAGCATGGCCACACTCAAGCACGCCCGAGGAAGGGAACCCCGGCCTCGTCGCAACAGTTGGGATTTGTGCTGTGACGCGCGAGGACCAACAACAGCTTTCATTGTATAGATGAAATGTACGACGACGAGAAAGACGAGGCCTGACTTGTCGGACCTAGTCCAAGCTTTCGCATCACTTGCCTAGCATCCGATGACTTGAGGCATCCACAGGTAGTCGGCGTTATGCAAGATACGACGTGCTCTATTCGAGTTTCGAATTCTCCCTCTTTTTCTATGGGGTAGATCGGCAGGGGCACCGCGTGCTCCTCGGGAGCCAGCTACTTCTCCTTTTCTGCAAAGGGGCTCGGGTCCGAGACTTTGCAGCACCCATAAAACTACACCCCGATGCTCTCGAACCACTGACTAGCAGGTATCTTGTCCATTTCATTTTACTACAATCCTTCTTTCTCTTCAATCTCAGTCTGTCCCAGAGCCCTTCGACATCCTTCAACCGCTCATCGCCTTCAAACCTCACTTTTCGTTCATTCTTTCTGCTTTCCTTGATCATTACGAACTAGACACATAACGAATCGCCGCTCTCTTTTGTATCCTCATACCCTCATATTTCCTTTTTGCGAAACTCAGGCGTACCTCATCATGGATCTCTTTGCTCGCTTCGCAGCCAATGCCGAAGTATCTGGTGCCTCTTCGGACAACTCCACAGCTCCTGCGGAGGAGCAAATCTTCAAGCTGTACCACTACCACCCTTCAGAAGTCGGTGCTATTATATTTCTGCTGGCATTCTTGGTTACCACTCTTTGGCACTGTTGGCAGCTGGTACGCACCCGCATATGGATCATGATACCCATCATCGCCGGCGGCATATGTACGTCCCGAAAATTCCCAACGAACCCGCTTTCGGGCAGGATGCAGTCAATAACAAGTTCACAGTCGAGATGGTCGGGTACGGTGGGCGATTTGCCTCGGGCAAGGAGACCCCTGACTGGACCTTGACGCCATACATTCTCCAAGCCATCCTGTTGCTCGTTGCTCCCGCCCTTTTTGCCGCGACCATTTACATGGAGCTCGGGAGAATCGTCACCCTCATAGACGGCGAGGGTCATTCTCTTATTCCCCGCAAGTGGATGACCAAGCTGTTTGTTATCGGCGACGTGCTCTCCTTCTTCCTCCAAGGCGGAGGTCAGTCTCGAATCCTTCTATGTAGCCCCTTTCCCCTACCCTTGGTCTGACTTGATCACTAGGTGGCGGCTACCAAGCATCCGGTACCCTTGCGGCTCTGAAGACGGGCGCAAACATTATCATTGTCGGCCTCTTCGTCCAGCTCATCTTCTTCGGCATCTTCCTCGTCGTCGCCGTCAACTTCCACGTCAGAGTCCGTCGCGCCCCGACGGCCCGCTCACGCATCGGCATCCCCTGGGAAAAGCACCTCAAGATTCTCTACGCCGCCGGCATGCTCATCATGGTGCGCTCGCTGTTTCGCGCCGTCGAGTATCTTCAGGGCTTCGACGGGTACCTGCTCAGCCACGAGGTGTACCTGTACATCTTTGACGCGCTGCTGATGTTCATCACCATGGTGCTGTTCAACTTTGTCCATCCGGCGGAGATTTTGGGACAAAAGGGCAGGATTGCGAGTTTTGCGTCGGGCATCGGGCTGCAGCCTCGGTATTGAGGGGCAACACGTGACACCCAACCATGGCGAACGAGCGGAGCATTCAGCACCAGACTGGGAGGATTTGGTGATCGATGCTTACATGTAGACAGCCGGGCGATTGAACTAGGCACCAGCTTAGGGATTCTCGGAGTTATGCCATTCCGCGGCGAGGCGTGCCGCGCGGCTTTGGCGGTATTGCAAGCAATCAATCACGACTGGCCGAGACGGGGTTCTGCCAGCCTTTCCCATGCAAGGAACTGCGGCTGTTTGCATGCGGGAAGGTCTATTTAGGGATAATTCCAGTGGCGTTGTTTGCTAGGGGAATTCCTGCCAATTCCATACAACCATCCTCATCCCTCTTTGTTGGACGACTAATACTACATCTGCCGAGACCCACAAGTTGTCGCTTATGCTGGCGGTCATGGGCATGTGATAAATGATGGATTAAGGACCTTGAAATGCGACTCACGATCAAGGTTTTCGCAGAAGCGAAGATGCCCCGCCAGGCTTGTCGGGGTCCTGTGCAACGTTTAACGAGGTTGGCCTGTTTAGAGGCGGGTAGCGGGTGCAGCCCGCAGGACTGCAGATATGCTTAGAACTGCATTTCCGTGACTTGCATGCAGTCAAGCAAATCGGAGCCTAATTCAAAGATGCAGCGAAAGAACAGTCAGGGTAGATGAGGTGATGGCAAGCCCCAGCCCCTGAGTGCTATGTCGATTTTCAGGGTTGGGGTTAGGGTCGACTAAGCAAGGACGGGCCTAGTATGGGTTATTGGCCACGCCCACGCTACCTGCCACGAGGCCAGACTCGTGGCTCCATCAAAGGGTTGTCAGACGGCATGAAATCCAGAGACAGAGAGTGGCACGTTTCTTCCTACGGCCTTCCAAGTCGCGAGTTCCTCGAGGGGGTTGGTCCCGTCGCGTCTCGACCTGCCCACTCTGTCCAACCGGTAGTAGCCAGCCCTCCCTGTTGGCCCAAATTGGCTCAAGTGGCGCGATGGTCTCCTTTTCATGCCAGGGCACACGGGAACCCGAGCTAAGGAAGTAAGGTAAACCTTGATGGATACGAACCCCTGAATCAAAGCAGGAACCGAACTCAAATACCGACTTCAGGGGCTTTAACCGGGACCTCCGGGCGATTTGAAGATTGAAGAGGAGGCTGGCCCTTGCTTAGGACATGGGACATGGGTCATGGAATCAACGTACCATCATGTCGATCCGATCTGCTTTTGGAAGCGCCCTTGGACGGCGCCATGCTGCTCGACTTTTTGGCCAGCGTGAACGGCTTCTACGCCACTGTTCTCAATCAATAATCTGGGGACGCCAAGAGGGTTTGACAGCTTTCAATCGACGACGACGTCTTGGCACGCGGGATGTGTGCCGTAGCCTTCGTGACGATTGTTTGCGCTTGATGTACTCTGCGGAAAAGAGTGTGATGCTGAAGACTTGTGAACGGGTCTCGTCCTCGCTACACCGCGTATCACGCTGCTGCTACTCCATGACTTGAATTGCACTCCAACGCGAGGCGGCGGTTCGTCATCTAATCCTGCCTCGACGTCACTCTTATTGCTGATCAGCAGATTCCAACGCGAGCAGACGAATAGCATCACCCTATTAAGACCTCATTTCTTGTGAATCGACGCCAGCAAAACCTTAGAAAGACCATGCACTGAATATCGTGACGGCGCTGACTCGCCGTCTGTGCCGGAGGCCGAAGGCGACCGGGGGCCGGTACGTCTGCCCGCTTCACTGGCATTTGAACCAACTCCCTAGAAATGAGACATGGTGCCTCTGGATGACTTGGACTTGATGATAAAAGGCTTGGTGCTATCCTCAACTCAGAGCATGGCTTCTACCTTCATGATGGTCATGACAGTTTCGTCCTGTCTGAACTAGGCTATTGCACCGGACACTCATTTGTTCCCACCCCCGTCAGTCCTTCATTTCCCTTACCTTACTATCATTCACCATCTCTTACATCACTTCCTGCTTCTTAACGTTCCTTTACAACAATGAAGTTCAGCATTCTTCTTTCGGCCCTTGCCGTGACGCCGGCTCTGGCCGTGCCGACTTTCGGAAGCAGATCTCCCTCTAGTTCCAGTTACAGCTACAGCTACAGCTATGGTAGTCGCAACAACAGCCACAGCGATAGTCACAGCGACAGCAGTCACTACGGCAGCAGCAGCAGCAGTAGCAGCAATGATAACAACAGCAACGACTGTGACGACGATAGCAGCAGCAATAACAACGATCAGAGCAGCAAGAGCGGCTTGAACAACGGCTTAAACAACGGTCAAAGCAAGTACCCCACAGACACCTACATTGTGAATCCTGCTGGCAAGTCCGGCACGGGTTATGGCAGCAATTCCGACAACCAGTACAGCAACGGTTACCGAACCAACGGCTATGGGAAGGGCCGTGTCTCAAGCGACGGCAATAGGCCAAGCAGCGGGAGCGGCAACAACCCCTGGAACGGTCCCGGCAGTCTTGGTAGCAAAACTTGGAACGGTCCTGGCAACAACCCCTGGAGCAACCCTGACAAAGGCTTTGGCGGCAAAGGTCTGAGCGACAGTTCCGGCCGCACTCCCGGTAGCGGCTCAGGTAGCACTCCCGGTAGCGGCTCAGGTAGCACCCCTGGCAGCGGCTCAGGTAGCACCCCTGGCAGTGGCTCCGGCCGCACTCCTGGCAGCGGCTCCGGCAGCACTCCCGGCGGCGGGTTTGGCAACAATCCCGGCAGTGGTTCCGGAAACGGGTTTGGCAAAGGTTTCGGCGATCCGGCGAGCCAAGGTCACCGCAACGTTCTCTATGTCACCAACTGGGGTATCTACGGCGCCAACTACCAGCCGGACCAGATTCCCGCGGACAAAATTACTCACATCAACTACGCTTTTGCCAACATCCAGGACGATGGTACTGTGTGAGTTGCAGCATTGTGAGCTCTAGCGTGTTTGACATTCGCTAAACAAAACAGGTTCTCCGCCGATCCTTGGGCTGACACCCAAAAGGGCTTCCCCGGTGACAACACCACCGAGCCAGGTAACAACGCATACGGTCTTGTCAAGCAAATCTACCAAAAGAAGATTGAGAACCGCGGCCTCAAGGTTCTTCTATCCATCGGTGGCTGGACTTGGTCGCCAAAGTTTCCTCCTATCGTTGCTGACGACAAGAAACGTGCCCAATTCGTCGCCTCCGCTGTCAAGCTGATCACGGATTGGGGCATGGACGGCATCGACGTTGACTGGGAATACCCCAACACCCCGGCACTCAATAAGCAGTGTGTCATCCTTTTCCAGGAGCTTCGCCAGGCGCTCGACGAATACTCGGCCAAGCACGCCAACGGGTATCACTTCCTTCTTACCTTTGCCGCTCCCGCTGGCCCTCAGAATTATGGGGCGTTTGACTTTGCGGCCATGGACAAGAACCTCGACTACTGGTCGCTGATGGCTTATGACTTTGCTGGTAGCTGGGACAACACCACCGGCCATGCCTCCAACGTCTTCCCCAACCCTTTCAACCCTACCTCGACAAAGTTCAGCATCAACAAGGCCCTTGATGACTACATCAAGGGCGGTGTCGCCCCCGGCAAGTTCAACCTCGGCATCCCACTGTACGGCCGTGGCTTCAACAACACCGATGGTATGGGAAAGCCGTACCACGGCGTCCCCGTCGACTCGCTCGGAAACCAGGGTACCTTGACGTACAAATACCTTCCTCTGCCCGGCGCTAAGGTCGAGTTTGATCCCATCGCTCAGGGAACGTACAGCTATGACAGCAAGACGAGGCAGCTTTATTCCTTTGATGATATCAAGAGCGCCGGCGTCAAGACAGACTACCTCCAGTTCCGAGGCCTCGGAGGTGCCATGTACTGGGAGGCTTCGGGTGACAAGACGGGCGACGAGAGCATCGTGTCTTACGTCGCCAAGAAGATTGGGCTGGAGAAGTCCCAGAACTTGGTGTGGTACCCCGTGTCTCAGTATGACAACATTCGTGGGAACCTGGGCCAGACAGTTGCAAAGCAGTCGTAGAGCTATGCTGCAGGCACGGAATTTGGAAGAGCAATTCAATTCGTAGATTGACATATCGTAATTTATCATCAGAACCTATCCCGACCAGCCGTAACGTCGCGTATTCAATCATCCTTGCATGTCAAAGTCGAGATTTCTCCTCGCCGTGTGCCCCAGGATGAACACGTGTACGTGCCTTCGCTTTTCTGCCAGATCAGTTCGTATGGACCTTGTCATGGGGACCATGGTATGGTGCGAACGATACTTGCGGCTATGACTTTCTCACCATCAAAACTTCGTGTCGCATGATGCTGCCATTGGAAATTGTGAGAAGGTGCAGTGTTTGGTCTTATTCGTTCACTTGAGCTGCCCAGCTGATGTTGCCTGGAGATGGTTGACAAGTTGCCCAAGTAGTCGTTACAGAAAGCGACGATGCCTCGGGAGCGCGAATAGGTGGTGCTAGATCGACCGGGGCTACAGGGATGTTTATCCGGGTTGAAATCCCCTCATACTCAATCTTGGTGCGACGTGTGCTCATGGAAATCCCCGCTTCAGACTCCCCAGGCTTTATCTGGCTCTCAGTCCACTTTCGATCATCGAGAATCCGCTTGCCAAGCCCCGTGCCTCGTCCCCTTTCACTTATAGGAAACAACAGCGATAATGGCTTCTTCTGCTGAGGCTCTGGCTCCGGCAACGGCTGCCGCAGCTGACTCACCTGCGGCGTCGCCTCCGACCAGCTCGCCCCCTCCAGCTCAAGCCCCAGCCCAAGTTGCCAACATCCAAGTGGTATGCAGCACCGCCGCCACCAACCCGGATACTGTTTGCTTACCAGCTCTCCCCAGGATGCCGCCCACGAGCACGACGATCAGACTGATGATGGGTTCGAGGATGGGTGCGTCTCCACCTCATTTGTCGCTTGAGACTTGAATCGCTCAGTCTGACCTTTCAACCACCATAGCCTGAGCTCCACCGCCTCGGTCACAGACAGCGTCCTGGAGTATCGCAAAATCCATGGTCGAACCTTTCACAACTTCAAGTCCGACACCGAGTACTGGTGCGTCGAAACCCGTCGTAATTGCCTCCAACTGTCGCACCTAACACCAGTCATGCAGGGGTCCCAACGACGATAAGCAGAATGAGCATCTTGACATCAAGTGAGACTCTTTTGCCCCTCTCACTCAATGAATACCCCCTTGACGGTCGTGCTGACAGTTGTTTCCAGTCATGAGATGCTGCTGATGGCTATGGACAACCGGCTTCACGTTGCTCCCATTTCGGGCTCGCCGCAGAGAGTCCTCGACGTCGGTACGGGAACTGGTATCTGGGCCATGTATGATTTCCCCTACAGCGCCCTTTCGACCAGCTGGCTAGGTATTTCTAGTGTTCTGACAAGCTGATCCTGTGCTCTTAGTGACTTTGCGGACCAATATCCCAGCGCTGAGGTCATCGGAACAGACCTGTCGCCCATTCAGCCCGCGTGGGTACCCTCCAACTGCCGCTTCGAGCTCGACGACGCTCAGCTGCCCTGGACCTTCCCCGACAACCACTTTGACTACATCCACATGCGTCTCCTCATGGGTGCCATCAAAGACTGGCCCTTCCTTTACAGCGAGGTCTACCGCTGCCTGAAGCCCGGCGGCTGGTTCGAGCACATGGATTACGACCCGCACATCTACAGCGACGACGGCTCCCTGAGCCCCACCTCGGCTTGGAACGACTACGGCGGTTTTTTTATCAAGGCCGGCGAGAAGCTCGGTCGCACGTTCAACGTCATCATGGACAAGGTCAACCACGGTTGGATGAAGGACGCCGGCTTCAAGAACGTGGACGAACTGCGCCTCAAGCTGCCCATGGGCGCCTGGCCCGCCGACCCCAAGCTGAAGGAGGTCGGCAAGTACAACCTCGTCGCCACCGAGCAGGGACTCGAGGGCTTCATGCTCTACATCCTCACCAACGTTCACGAATGGGACATTGTCCAGGCTCAGACGTACATCGCCTCGGTGCGCAGCGAGCTCAAGAAGCGTTCCAACCATGCGTACTATGTGGCGTATGTCGCGCCCACCCCTCGAATGATCCTTATTTCTGTGGCAAATACTAACTGATATAGGTCTGCCTCGTATGGCCAGAAGCCCGAGTAGCGGCGTGAGTTTGATGGTCCCAGGAGCGCGCACGGTCAAATAGTTGGATTCGACGTCTTTGCTTCGTTGGTACTCATGCCACTTTTCGAAACATGATTCTCGCTAGGACGCAATGTTTAGCTCAATATTGGGAAGCCTCAGTGCTGATTCATCAATATGCTGACTTTACTGGGGCACGTAAATTCATAGCTGTTCATGTTAGCATGCCCTTGACGACGACATGCGACCTGATTCGCTTCAAGTCCAAAGTCTTGAACTCCCTGCGTGCACTTTGCGTGTATTTCACCAGTCGATGGATTTGATGACATGCTAGTATGAACACCAGGAGGCAACAAAGTGGTTCTACATGGGTGGGACACATGTGAGCTCCCCACATTACGAATCCAGTGAACTTCAGTTGCATCAATTCTAAGAGCTCCTGTATCAAGTGAGGCTTATGAACTCTAAGCGACCAGCAAAGACTCAAAGAAGTGATGGTTCATTGACGGAGCTCCGCCGCAACGTCCAGATCTGTTCGGGATCCCCCTGGAATCGACACACCTGCGAAAACCCCGTCAGGCTCCATCTCTGCTGAAGGTCATTCCGAACGACCTCTTGGTCATTAGGCGACTTCATGAAGAGGCCGAGGGTGTACACCGGCCAGTTCCCGATGAAGCACCTGCTCCAGCCTTCTGCGTGTTCGTGCCGTCGCAGGATCCGCATCGCCTTGTCCACCTGCCATGACTCACTCGGCTCCGGTAGCAGCGGCCCAGCTCCGATATGAGGTCGGCAGAGCTGCTCGAAGAGGAGCGAGATGATAATGCCAAACAGGCAGCTCGCGTCTTTGTAGTACATATCCTCCGTAGAACTTTCCTCGCAAGTCGACGATTCGGCGGTTCGAACGCAGAGAAGCAGGGCCTCGCACTCGGCCACCTCGTCCCTGATTCGGCTGAGCATCTCCGAGTCGAGAGCCAACCCGCTTCCGTACTGCTTTCGTAGCATAAAAGACAGCCTGAACAGCGATATTGGGACGCCCAGAACTGGGCTGTTGAGGCTGATCGGTTGTCCGGGGAAGATGGTGGACCGGTCCAAGAAATCCTCGGCTCTGGACCAAAACACGGCGTCGAACTTTTGTTCGGCCTCTGCCTCCTGTGTCCACAGACCTGTTGTTGCAAGGAAAATCTGGTACAAAACGCTCTCGACCGCGAGTCTGTCAAAGAGACGATGGACTGTGTTGTGGCGATCGAGGAGTCTCGTCTTGATGATGCGAATCGCTGCGTTGACGTGCATCGGTATATCGGTATATGTTCCAATGCCCATGCACTATCAAACGGGTTAGCCCTTCTTCTTGTCGGTCGTCTGTGTACAGATCATTGGCTTTTGCCAGACTGGCGACGACACGTGGAGGCTCACCTTACGCCATGTAGATACAGTAGCATAACGGACATGAGCAGCCCATTGTGAAGCTCAGGATGAGCCTCACTCTCAAGCAGACATGACATCGCTCTCGTCGCCTTGGTATAATAAGTCAGAGCGAGGCCCTGAATCTGTGTTGACGTGTCCATCAGGAAGACGTGTGAGGCAGCATAGGCCAGCACCGAGTAATACAGACAGTCTTGGGAGACCATGAGGTCTTTGATTTCGCCCAGCCAGTCTTGAGAAAAACCTGGATGACAGGTAGGTAGGAGAAGCAAGGTGAAGCATTTTTCGACAAAGTGGCGGGACAGAACAGCAGGCATCTCCCGGGATACGGTCAGGTAAGATGCGCGAGACTCGGCCAAGAGGTGCGAAATGTGAATGATGGCTTGTCCAGGCGGCGACGACTCGGTTGGTGCGGAATTGTGGTCGTCTTCAAATGGTGACATCGCTGAATGTGCTCTGTAATGAGAAGCGATGGGCTTTACCCGCTCTTCGGTGGTTACATGATGCCGAGAATTCTCGTGAGAGGCAAATCGACGATCGACCAAGTCTGCCGAGACAGGCCAGTGACATTGGCGACTGCAAGCTCTGCATTCGCTGCAGACGGGAACTTGTTCATTGCACTTCTTGCGTCGCCGGCGGCCTGTCGAAACAGTATGAAGTCAGCGATCGTTCAAGAGGCGAGGCAAATTGTACGCATGGACATACAAGTGAGGCAACCGGTCTTGGTCCGCAGCCTCGCCTTACTTCCGCCTCTCATATCGTTGGTAAATCATGCGAGGCTCGATGTGCGATGCGACGTGAGAAAGATGAGCCATGGTATACGGGGAGATTGGGGGTGGTAGGCGAATCTGGGCTAGTTGGGTGACTAGAGCTCCTGACTCGAGTGTGAGAGCGGCATGGTCCAGTTTCCCCGCTTCCCCACGATAGCTTGGCTATTTTAGTGGTATTTTATACTGCGCTAAGTTATCTCTTGTGGCGGGCCTGACTACCTGAAATAGGCAAGGTTGGTAGGTAGCAGCATCACTATAGGGAAGTCGGTGATAAGAACGAAAAGGTAGGCCTGATGCCAGACATGAAACTCGAAAAAAGACTGCAAAAGCTACAGAACTTATGCCAACAAAGACCCAGCCCTGATCACGATGACAACACTGCCCCGAGGTACTTGACAACTTTTTGAATATTCTCAGTTGCGGTCGCCTTCTTCTTACACACTTTCTGAGTACCTCCGACGAACATTATCCCTCGCCCACAGTAACTCCCCGCAACAAATCGTCATCAGACAACGAGATGTGCAGTATACGCCCCTACCATTTCGACTCTGCGGCATTGACAAGCCTGTGATACTTGCTGGCGCTGCGAATTCGTAATTTTCTACCATACTTGATCATGACGAAGAAAACCGACGAAGTGGCCATGCCGATGAAAGCAGCAGAGATAAAACAATTCTGATAACCAAGGTTCATCAACCAGGGTGTGATTCTG